CCTCCCTCGTTCAAACTCCGTAAGTTGCTTGAATTTCTTATTCTTCCGTCGTGGAGGCATACTCAGGTCTCACTAAACGTTTGCCACTAACAAATAATCATAGACTATTTTCAACGTCCCGCTACAGCACTTTATTTATACGCTTTCAGCATCAATTCAGAGGGCGCTGCGCGCGCCACGCACGCGCGATGGCTCTGAAACTTTATTAATTTGCATAATATCCTATAATTGACATTTGCTGCGAATTTCATTTGATTCTGATGATTCCTTCATGGTGTTGCATTTTCTACAAACAGCAGTTTATATATGCTTAATTTTTTAAAAATAGTTGTGGTCAAAAAGATTTTAAATAAAGTTTATAAATACAAGGAATATATAGAAAGCATACATTTCACTACCACTTTAAATATAGAAGTAAAATTTTACGCCAAATGCGTAAAAGTTAGCAGGTATGCTGCACTATCTAGAAATTTAATTTAACCCGCTATGTCCCGAATTATTATATTGAAATGTTACAAAAAATGGTTTTATGGAAAAAGTGGTATAATATATTTTCGAAATTAATTGATTTTTCTATTGTTAGGGCATTCAAAAAGTCTTTGATAGATTAATAAGTACTTGCTCCTTATAATTCTACATCTGATCAGAAATAACTAAATCATTGTGGTATCTGAGAATCCTTTAATTCACCCAGATAAATGAAAATGCTGAAAAAAGTTTCCCACCACACAGTGAATGTTTTTGAAAAAAGAAACTGTCCTAAATATATATGATGCTGGGCCTTAACCGGTTTGAAAATTCTGTGAATGGCTGTCGGTTTTCCTCACTTCATGCGAAAATTTCTTTCAGTGGTAGCTGAGTTTGGGCTTTAGTGCCCTTTTCTTTGACAGGATTTCACGATCTGGTAATTTTTTTAAAGTGGTAGTAAAAGGTAAATAGATCTAGGAGTCTTATGCTATCACACACACAATAAATATTTAACTTAAAGGAAATATATATGGGTGCAAAAAATAACTCGGGAATAATTTCATAATTTCTCAAATGAAAGATAAATTCAAAGCATTTTTCAGTGGTCTTGAAAAATCTTTGCTTCGCCTTAAATATTTTTTTCAGATTGTGGGAACCCTGTTTGATTATTCACGATGTATGCTTAAATTTAAAAACTGGCAAATCACGATAAAATCCTTTAAATTATTTAGCAGTATTAGAGATAGAAATGTAAAAAAAACTGACTAATCGCAATAAAATAATTTAAATTATTTAGTAGTAAAGGAGATAGATGATTAAATTTAAAAACTGACTAATCATAATAAAATCTTTTAAATTATTTAGTAGTATTGGAGACAGAGGATTAAATGTATAAACTGACTAATCACAATAAAATAATTTAAATTATTTAGTAGTAAAGGAGATAGATGATTAAATGTAAAAACTGACTAATCACAATAAAATCTTTTAAATTATTTAGTAGTATTTGAGATAGATGATTAAATGTAAAACAGAGAAATCACAATAAAATCCTTTAAATTATTCAGTGGTATTGGAGATATTAAATGTAAAAACTGACTAATGACGATAAAATCCTAAAAATTATTTAGCAGTATTGGAGATAGATGATTACATTTAAAAACTGACTAATCACAATAAAATTCTTTCGATTTTTTTTTCCAGCGTAGGTGATGAATGGAAAGCCCTAAGAAACACATTAAATCCTGCCCTATTGAAACTGCACGCTCTTGATGGATTGATTGGACCAATGAATGAAATTGGTGACGATTTTATGTCTTTGCTGCGGAAAATAAGAGATCCAAATACACATAAAATAAACAACTTTCAAGATAGTGTATACAAACTTGCACTAGAAGGTAAAAAGAAAACAAAAACTTTGTATCAGCTTCATTAACATCAATTACTTAATTATTTTTCGATATTGCAATTAAAATTTAAAAATAAATTTTAAATTATAATCAGTTTGAAAAAAACTTTGACTAACTATGGTTTCGGGTTTTCAGCGTTTTATTTATGTATCCTAACAATGATCATATTCATACTCGCAGGCGTTCGAAAATGTTAACATTCGCCTAAACCTCCAACATTTTAGGTTTTTTGAAAACTCCTTGAAGCGGTCGTATATGACAGATGTTTTCAAAGCAAGTAGAACTTTTGAATATATATATATAACAAGATGGTCTCGAAGTTGTCAAGATTGTCACTATTATTATACCCTAAAATTAATATGTATGACATGTTCATACCAAAAAATTTCTTCCGTCGTTGAAAAAGATTCTGTAAAGTGGTAGTAAAACAACGATTATGCTAAGAAGAATTTTCTAAATAGAAAAATTATTACAGATTGGCAGCTATGCATACTACAATCTATCGTGAAAAACATTACATATTCATACCTGCTAACTTGTACGGTAGTTAAGAAAGGTTTTACAAAGTGGTAGTAAAACAACAATTAGGTTTAGAAGAATCTTCTAAAATGAAAATTATTACAAGTTGGCACCTATGCGTATTTATAATATATGATTAAGAAAAATACAAAGAAACGATATGAAACTATAAACAGTCCTTATTAATTCTGGAAGTAAGCTTCATTTTTATCGACAGTTAGTGCCCTCATAAGGGTTAAATTGCGATTTAATATCTAAAAATACATGATTTTAGTTTTTAGAATAGAACTTTATAATTCTGTATTCTTTGATATTTATTAAAATTCATGGATTTGTTTCACAGGTCGGTACAGTTTGGCTAGCCTTCATGAATCTGCTATAGATAAATATCAACGTTATGGTCAAATCGTGAAAGAAGAATTCCAGTGGGGAAAACCTGTCATTCATTTATTTAATCCGGACGACTTTGAAACTGTGTTCCGCTTCCAAGGAAATGCACCCCTCCGTCCAATATCTGATTTTGTCAAGCACTATAGACAGAACAATCCTGATAAATACAGCACTCCCGGCCTTGCTAATAGGTGAGATTTTTTAATATCACCTGATTTCAAAGCCTTATTTCCAAGGACAATATTTGTATAACAATTTTTATTCATTAAAAAAATTTTTAAAAATATTATGGTTATAAATATTAGTGAGATAGCATACCTGNTTGGTTATAAATCACTAAATAAAAGTAGCCAGGAAAATGACAGATTTTCATGGGACAAACAAATTATTGACTGAAAAAATTATTTTAAACGAAGTTTTAGTAAACAATACCATCTGCGTATATTCTAGAAATGCTTACAAAGGATAAGATAAAAATAAATTAGATTTTGAAAAATGTATGGGAAGTTTTGAAGCTAGGATTGTCGGCTAGGTTGCTTAGTTATTATTGGAAATATTGTTTGGGACATGCCAGAAAAATGACATTTTGGTATTCAATTAAATTTTTTAAGTATACAAAACAGTCAATGCTAGTGCAAAGTCATTTTAAAATGCTAACAGCAATACTATTTATTAATTTTTTTTAAAAAAAAAAGGTTCTTTTAGTATTACAGTATTAGATCTTGGAGCAAGGGACAGTGAATATCATGTTTCGTGAGAATTACCCATATATTCTAAACCTCCAACATTTTAGGTTTTTCGAAAACTCCTTGAAGCGGTTATATATTATAGCAGACCTTTTTAAAGCCAGTAGAACTTTTATCTAAAACTTTTATCTAAAACTTGTATCAGAACTTCTAATAAACTTAGAGGCCGACCGGCCGGTGTAGGGGGCAGGGAACTGTCCTTGCATCAGAAAGGTCCCGGGTTCGAATCCCGGGCAAGACATGGATGTTTCTTTCTCTCTCTCTGTATTCTATGTCCTTTCTCCTTCGTGTGTGAATGTGACCCTCCCTATAAACGGGTTGTGGTTGTGTGAATGGCTTGGCAGAAGTCGAATTCCTGGCCATAGATGGCGCCACTGAAAGAACAGGAGCAATCGCACCCCCACTGCCTAAACAGGCACACGACAAAAGAAAAATAAATAAAAATAAACTTAGAATTGTTCTAGTTATTCACTACTAACTCTGGTGGCTTCTCACACTGACTCATTGCATTTGACATGACTGTGGATGGAAAAAGATAAGATAATGAAATGAATATTAAAACATGCAGTATGTTTTTTTCCCGAAACTTATGTGGAGCCCTTTTGTTTAATTTTAGGTGTTTATATGATGAGTTTGGATTGTCGGCTAGGTTGCTTAGAGCCTGAACTTCAAAGAGATAGCCAAACGATGATTTTTGCAGTGAAGTTGCTATTTGAAGCATTTCAGGAGCTATTTTACGGCCCCGCCTTGTGGAAGATTATTAAAACACGTTCTTACAAAAAACTCGATCAAGCTGAAAGTCTTATGTATGAGTAAGTATATTACCAAATCCATTAACATTGTGCATTCCAATCACTTCAAAAATGCTTTTTTTTTATTATTACCATTTAAAATACTAAACTGAACTGTATTAAATATGTGGGAGCCAGAGATCACCTGCGGCCACTTTTCCCCTTCATCTTTAACATGAACTTTGTGGTATTTCGATAAGGTGGGGAAATACAAATGATGTAAAAGAGTATTCATGTAGAGCATTGAATTCTGACAATGCTGCTATATGTAGTTGGGTGATAACATCATAATGAAAAAATATGAGGTAAGCCGTTATGGTTAAAATGAGGTTATACATATGCTATTGAATATGATGCATCACTGCACTATTATGCTGCTATTGGTCTGATTGGTCTTCAGTTAAATTTTCATATAGGAATATTTAATTGAAATTTGCTGCAAAGCAAGAGGTGACTTTTTCATGGAATTTGAAATTTAATTTAGCTATATGTTTGTCTATCGCATATATTTTAAGGTCGTGGTGCATTATGTCATTTCTTAAGAAACATCTGGCTTTTGCTATCCTTCTTAGTATTTTATTCTCACAAACTATTAATTTGTTTAGCCGAGTTTGTGTTATAATTTTCAAGACTGGTGAGGCATATGTAAGGATGGGGCGGATCAAGGATAAATAGAGCATTCTTTTGAGTTTTAGTGCCATGTGTGATTGATAGAGTAGTACCTAGAGTTTACTGCATGCTGTTTGTGCTTTACTGATTATACTTTTGATGTGATCGCTTCTGTTGAATTTTCAATTAAGGATGGGTCCAAGGTATTTGGCTTCATCAAGTATTGGTATTGTTTGATGGAAAAGTATTAACTTGTTTTGTGGTAATATTTTCTTCTTTTTGTTGCGGATGATTAGGAGTTGTGATTTTTGGCCGTTTACTTGAAATTTCGTCTTCAGGCAACACTTTTCTATGTCTTTAATCTTTTCCTGTAATTTATTGAGATTTACCCCTGAAAATATCACTGATAGTGTATGTATATCTTCATGTATACACTGCTGAAGTATATATCTTCATACATACACTAACCCCTAAAAATGCCACTTGTACGTAATTTTTTTAATAGTCATTTATACATGGCACGATACATATTTTTAATATATAATTACTTGCTTAATGGATATTTAGTATAAGTATTAATTGTCTTTTGTAATTTTTTTCATAACTTTCTTTCAGAGCAGCCAATAAACGCGTGAAGGCAGCTATAAACAATATGAGGTCATGCAATGAAGATAAGACTGGAACAAAAAGCGTGTTGCAGACTCTATTGCAAACTGAAGGTTTGACAGATAAAGAAATTATTGTGACTGTCATAGATTTTATCTCAGGAGGCATATTCACGGTAAAAATTAATTTTCACACTTCACTATCTATATGCTTTTTCATTTTATTTGTTTATAAAGTATGACTTCTTTTTTCCACACAAAAATATTTACTCTCTCTCTCTCTCTCTCTCTCTCTCTCTCTCTCTCTCTCTCTCTCTCTGTGTGTGTATTTCTC